CGCATGCCCAGTTCCCGTCACGGAAGTTTGGGCTTGATCCCGTCATTGCGTCACAGCGCCACCAACAGGTCTGGCATAGTTTCACAGCGTTTTCAGGCGTATTGACTACATTCATATGGACGCACACATTTACTGAGCTAACTCCATGTTTACAGAAAAAGTTTCTGAAATTATAAGCGTTTTGTCTTCGTGTGGATATAGCCTGAGTGTTCCTATCCAGGCCAAATGTGACATGTACATTTCTCCTTTGTGAGATAAATAAAGAATATCTTATGGTTTTAGTATTTATTTGAGCATATCTGGTCTTCATAGCCTCACAGCCTGTCTGTCCGTGTGGCTATGAACAGATATGAACTATGACATGATACAATGAACATCCTTCAGAAACAGAAACAGGGAAACGTACAGTCTGACACTTTATAAGAATAATTATAGATAAGGGTTAGTGTTAATGTGAGCTGTTGTGTTTGAGGAAACTGTTCTGGATCTGCTCTCACCACATTCTGGAAGGACTTCAGTACATTCATTATAGAGCATCTTCAGAACCACTTTACTTTCAATGGGAACGTTTTGAAGAAGACACCTTTTCTTCTTAATACTCTATTTATTTTGTAATCAATAATAGATGAAATGACTGATGAACTACATTTGGGGCTTAATATTTTTCTCTGGATTGTTTAGGCCTAGGACAGACATGAAAACACTGAAGGCATGTTTGAAAGTGACAAACAAATCAACTCTACTCTACTGGCCTCTTTATTCATTTGAAAACTAGGATGAAGAAAGAGAAGACCTTGTCACGTGCTGAGAAGGATGAGGACTCAAAAAGCAGGAATGCCAAAAAATAATTATTTAATGATAACAAAATAAAAGTCCAGGTTAAAACTCAAAAATCCAAAAGGCACAAGCAGCAACGAAACAGGAACAGACATGACAAGAGAGGACGGAGTATGACAATACAATGGACCAGCAACAAGAGGAGAGGAGCACAGGGTAATTATAGACAGACACAGGTGAAACACATTAGGGCGGGGCAGACAATCAAGACAGGGGCAAACAGGACAGGAAGTACAACTAAAACCAAACCACAGAGAACAATGTCAAAATAAAACTAAAATACAAAAATAAAACCCACACCATGACAGACCTCCTGATTAAAGTCGATCCATCACTGAAAAAATGACTCAGGAGAAAATAAAAGAACCTTTATTCACTGACAGTGGAGAAATGTCAATGTTGCAGCGCACATACAGGACAGTATTAAAAGCTCACAGAATATACAATTTAAATATAAATGTTACATAAAAATATATATGGAAAAGTTAAAAACATATTTGGCAGGATAAAAGTGAATTGGTTGGACATTCTTAAATTGCAGTATTGCACATTATTGCAATATTTACTATTCACAGATGAACATGTACAGGCGCACACACATACAAAATACACACACAGACACACACATACAAAATACACACACACATCCAAGAGCCCACACACACACAGACAAGAGCCCACACACACACACACACTTCTAATACCAGCTTTTCCCTGTGCTCTTAAACGCATCACTGCTCAGTGTCTCATAGGGATCCGGTTGTCGTGGTTACATGCAGCTCTTCGCTGTAGAATTTATGTCTCACTAAATCCATCCGATTCTGTGACTGAAGTAAATGTGGCGTTTGACTCACAATCTTTTGTATTACATAAAAAGGTGCAAAGCTAACGCTGTCAGAACAAATGCCCATATTAGGAAACAGGCTCCAGCTAATGTTCAAATCAGCTTCTTCTGCATTAAAGTGATAGTCTGGAACTCTATATGAATTACAAATGTTAAGAATTGCATTAAATTGACCTCCTGGCCTTAAATGTTGATATAAAATAAGTCATTTTATTAATTATGAGTAAGTCCCGCCTTCCCTTCTCTTAGCTATAGCTCAAAATCCACGATGCCGTCCACGTTAACCAATCGAGTCATGCCAAGGGCTGTCAATCATCGGCGCTCGTGCTCGTATATAAAGCAAATATTACATATATATATTATATATGAAGAGTTTGGTTCAAAAACGCTATAAATCCATTTGGATCAATTTGAGAAAAACTGCGTTTTCTTAAGCAAGAAAATGATATGATGAAAATCACTATTGTCTGTTCCATATATAGCATCAGAAGGTTATAATAACATTAAGAATTAAAATCCAGATTTCAAAAGGCTATAACTTTAAAGTCATCTAATTTACATATCATGACGTCATCAAGGTGGCGGCCATATTGGACAATGTCATTAAAATGTACATTGACAAAAGGTCAATGTGAAATATCTTTAGTATAAAATCTTAAGTGTTCTTAGTATTTTACACACCTGAAGTACAAGCACAGAGTGCGGTGCTAAAGGGCAGCGGCCATTAATGGTTTGAGAGTCAGTTATCAAGAAATAAATGATCGAACGTTTTGAAATTACATTCAAATCAATGGAGCGATTCTACTGCTGCTGTGAGGAGCGAGTTATAAATTAGGAATAAATATTCAAATATTTATATTTATAATCTCTCTTCCGCACGTCTTGGACCATTGACCTGGCGTGTGCACAGAAAAGTAGGCGTGGCTTCAAGGCCAATCAGAAAGGAAGGGGGAGGAGCTTGGGTCGTTAATTTTCAAATCACGAACCTCTCTCTCTCTTTTCTGACAAACTCCAGACAATCCCTTAAAGGCTAACCACTGTGAGGTCACACTGTCAGACCACTGAATAATTATGTATATATTACTAACTACATACTTTTTATTAGAGCTGCACAATATTGGAAACTAGAGCGATATTCGATATGAGTTTTTAGTATTTCGATAACAATATTATTGCGATAATTTTGTCTTTCACCTAAAATTGCATCTGCATTGAAACGTAAGATACAAAATGACATTCAAATGCATATGTCGGTGGGTGCAAAATGGGTGGTGGGTTTTAATAAGGTTTTATTTATATTTTATGCATTTTGTGTGTGTGTGCTTCTAACATTGATTTGAACTTGCACCACCCGAAGCACCCCGGCTACCCACGTGATGACAATTAGAACACCTGTGCCTTGCGTACAAAATGAGATGGGGAGGGGGCGGAGAGAGGAAGCAGGACGAAGCGGGAGACACAGGAGACAGACACGGCGAGGGGTGACCCCATGGTCCGGCGGCCCAGGTCGTGCAGAAGGGTTTTTAGCCTCTTTAACTTTTATCCCGGGCTTTTAGCTTAGGTTTTATTGCTTTTATTCATTTACTTATTTTTAATGTATTTTATAATAAATTGCTTTTAATTTACTTTTAATCCAGTGGTCTTTTTTAAACCCGGGTCCGAAGAACCTGTTTTTTTACACTTGTGACACATATACCTAGATACTTATTTGTTCTTGTTGAATGTCTGTTCTTGTCTGTTTTGTTGTCTTTAATAAAGGAAAAATATAATATATATAGTAGGGCTGTCAAACGATTAAAATGTTTTAGTTGATTAATCGCATCGTAATGGTGAGTTAACTCATGATTAATCGCATTTTTAACGTTCTATTTCAAATCCACTCCAATTGAAGTTAAATGAGATTATCAAATGTAATGACACATTGTCATTAAAACCAAATGTACTTAAATCTGTTTGATTCACAACAATTTAATTTTGGGCGAAACCAACATGAGCTGTTAATGAAAGGGAACATTTACGTACCCCAGCTTTAATTTAAGTAAGTAAGTAAAGTTTATTTGTATAGTGCATTTCACAGACCAGGGTCACAAAGCTCTTCACACATTAAAATACACATACAAATTTAGCGAGTTTAGTGGCGAGGAGACACGGACACTTCCTGAGGCTCCATAGTTCAGCTTCAGCGGTGTGTTTGTGTGCACAGGTTACGCACAGAGTGTATGGTCTTGGATCACGTTACCGCAGCGCCATTTTCCGTGTTATTGTCAGCGGCCACGGAGGATGCGGACTTCAGCCCGCATCCTCCGTGGCCGCTGACACAGAGGATACGGGGCACTTGCTGTTGTTTGTTCTGAGTGATATTATGGACACATGGGTCATTCTGAGTGATATTATGGACACATGGGTCATTCTGAGTGATATTATGGACAAATGGGTCATTCGAACATGCGTTGATGCGTTAAAAAAAAATAACGCAATAATGAAACATTTAACTCACGTGCGTTAACGCAATAATTTTGACAGCCCTAATATATATATATATATATTTGTTTTATTAAACCGTGAGCTTATTGAACACAGAACGGTGTGTGTCAGTGACCCGTGTAAATCCTCACATCCAAACCAGGTCTTCAGGTTAAGTCCAGAGATGATGTCTGTTCTTGTCTTCTTATGTGTTGCAGAACACGTTCAAAGACAGTCTTGGTTTTATTAAGTTCATGTAGAATCTTCTCCATCGCAGCAACAGTCTTTAATGCAGAGTTCCTCTTAATGTCTCCAACTGGCTTCAGTTGGCGGAAGGGGACTTTAAATGTTAGAACTTTAATCACAGCGTCGTATTCCTGCAGCTGCTTGCAGCATCTCTTCACATTGTTCACCCGTGTCTGTAACTGCTTCACTGTGGATATGAACTTTCTTTTTGTGGCCTTGATTTTCTTTACTGCCTCCTTCTTTGCTCTGCTGCTGTTTGTTCTGAATATGAGGTCTGCAACAGATTCAACAGCAAGATCAACAACAGCAACAGCAGCAGCACCAGCAGTAGCACCAGCAGCAGCAGCTCCGATTCCAACCAATGTCAAACTCAGTCCTCCTGTGAATGGAGCAGCAGCGACACCTACAGCGGCTCCTACAGCGGCTCCTACAACGGCTCCTAGACCTATAATGACTGTAGTCACCATTGCTACATTTCTCTTCTCAATCTTTTCCGTCTGTTCATGAATACACCTGGTCAGATCGTCCTTGTTTGTTTCAAAGAAGTCCAGAAAACGCTTGATGGACTGATTCAGTGAAAAATGTGGAGGAAAGTCAAAACAGAACAGAGATGAGACTGAGGAGTCAGAGGAGGAGAGACAGGAAGAGACAGATGAGGAGACAGAAGAGGAGAGAGAGAGGAGACAGAGGAAGAGACAGAGGAGGAGAGAGAGAGAGGAAGAGACAGAAGATGAGACAGAGGAGACAGGAGAAGAGAGAGGAGGAGACAGAAGAGCAGACAGAGGAGAGAGAGAGAGGAAGAGACAGAGAGGAAAAAGAGGAGGAGACAGAGGAGGAGAGAGAGAGGAAGAGACAGAAGATGAGACAGAGGAAGAGACAGAGGAGGAGAGAGAGGAAGAGACAGAAGATGAGACAGAGGAGAAGAGAGAGGAAGAAACAGAGGAGGAGACAGAAGAGGAGACAGAGAGGAAGAAACAGAGGAGGAGAGAGAGGAAGAGACAGAGGAGGAGAGAGAGAGGAAGAGACAGAAGATGAGACAGAGGAGACAGGAGAAGAGAGAGGAAGAAACAGAGGAGGAGACAGAAGAGGAGACAGAAGAGGAGACAGAGGAGGAGAGAGAGGAAGAAACAGAGGAGGAGACAGAAGAGGAGACAGAAGAAGAGACAGAGGAGGAGAGAGAGAGGAAGAGACAGAAGATGAGACAGAGGAGACAGGAGAAGACAGAGGAAGAAACAGAGGAGGAGAGAATATCAAAATCATAATAAATAGTCTTTAAAAACGTCTAAAACCAGGTGTCGATCGTCAGCTGTTGATGTAAAAGACTAAGAGTCACTGTGAGGGTTCTTTATAGGTACACTGTGTAATTTTTACTGCCATCTAGTGTTGAGATCTTATATTGCAGTCCAGGGTAGTACGGAGGCCTTTGATGGAAAAGATGTGTCTTTGACAGTGCTCCTGATTTACCATTCAGTATGGTGAATGGTCATTCACCAGACTGCCAAGGGAAGAATACTTTAGTTTGATAAATTACCGGATCTCTCCAAACGTCTCAGGCACTTGACAGTCGCGTGGAGGCGACATGTAAACATCACAGCGTTCAGACGCGGCACACGCTGTACAGAGGCTGCACTGAGTTTTACCATAGATCTATTTTAATATATAGTTTTACCATGGGTCTATTTTAATATATAGTTTTACCACGGGTCTATTTTAATATATAGTTTTACCATGGATCTATTTTAATATATAGTTTTACCATAGATCTATTTTGATATATAGTTTTACCATGGATCTATTTTAATATATAGTTTTACCATAGATCTATTTTGATATATAGTTTTACCATGGATCTATTTTAATATATAGTTGTACCATGGGTCTATTTTAATATATAGTTTTACAAACGCGGTGTGAAGAGAAGAGACACATGGAGGAATAATGTCTGTGAGAGCTTAAAACTACGATGATCAAAGAAGCAGGAGATATACAGGTAACTGTGGTCCTCCATGGTTCTTTTATATAACTGTGGTCCTCCATGGTTCTTTTATATAACTGTGGTCCTCCATGGTTCTTTTATATAACTGTGGTCCTCCATGGTTCTGTTATATAACTGTGGTCCTCCATGGTTCTTTTATATAACTGTGGTCCTCCATGGTTCTTTTATATAACTGTGGTCCTCCATGGTTCTTTTATATAACTGTGGTCCTCCATGGTTCTTTTATATAACTGTGATCCTCCATGGTTCATTTATATAACTGTGGTCCTCCATGGTTCTTTTATATAACTGTGGTCCTCCATGGTTCTGTTATATAACTGTGGTCCTCCATGGTTCTGTTATATAACTGTGGTCCTCCATGGTTTTTTTATATAACTGTGATCCTCCATGGTTCATTTATATAACTGTGGTCCTCCATGGTTCTGTTATATAACTGTGGTCCTCCATGGTTCTGTTATATAACTGTGGTCCTCCATGGTTCTTTTATATAACTGTGGTCCTCCATGGTTCTTTTATATAACTGTGGTCCTCCATGGTTCATTTATATAACTGTGGTCCTCCATGGTTCTTTTATATAACTGTGGTCCTCCATGGTTCTGTTATATAACTGTGGTCCCCCATGGTTCTTTTATATAACTGTGGTCCTCCATGGTTCTTTTATATAACTGTGGTCCTCCATGGTTCTTTTATATAACTGTGGTCCTCCATGGTTCTTTTATATAACTGTGGTCCTCCATGGTTCTTTTATATAACTGTTGTCCTCCATGGTTCTTTAATATAACTGTGGTCCTCCATGGTTCTTTTATATAACTGTGGTCCTCCATGGTTCTTTCATATAACTGTGGTCCTCCATGGTTCTTTTATATAACTGTGGTCCTCCATGGTTATTTTATATAACTGTGGTCCTCCATGGTTCTTTTATATAACTGTGGTCCTCCATGGTTCTTTTATATAACTGTGGTCCTCCATGGTTCTTTTATATAACTGTGGTCCTCCATGGTTCTTTTATATAACTGTGGTCCTCCATGGTTCTTTTATATAACTGTTGTCCTCCATGGTTCTTTAATATAACTGTGGTCCTCCATGGTTCTTTTATATAACTGTGGTCCTCCATGGTTCTTTCATATAACTGTGGTCCTCCATGGTTCTTTTATATAACTGTGGTCCTCCATGGTTCTTTTATATAACTGTGGTCCTCCATGGTTCTTTCATATAACTGTGGTCCTCCATGGTTCTTTTATATAACTGTGGTCCTCCATGGTTCTTTTATATAACTGTGGTCCTCCATGCTTCTTTTATATAACTGTGGTCCTCCATGGTTCTGTTATATAACTGTGGTCCTCCATGGTGATTTTATATGACTGTGGTCCTCCATGGTTCTTTTATATAACTGTGGTCCTCCATGGTTCTTTTATATAACTGTGGTCCTCCATGGTTCTTTTATATAACTGTGGTCCTCCATGGTTCTTTTATATAACTGTGGTCCTCCATGGTTCTGTTATATAACTGTGGTCCTCCATGGTTCTTTTATATACTGTAACTGTGGTCCTCCATGGTTCTGTTATATAACTGTGGTCCTCCATGGTTCTTTAATATAACTGTGGTCCTCCATGGTTCTTTTATATAACTGTGGTCTTCACATTTTGTTATGTTACAGCCTTATTCCAAAATTGATTAATTTTTTCCTCACAATTCTACACATAAAACCCCAAAACAACAACATGACATTTTTTTGGGGGAGATTCTTGCAAATGTATTAAAAATAAAACCGAAGAGACCAAATGTACATAAGTATTCACAGCCTTTGCCATGAAGCTCAAAGTTGAGCTCAGGTGGATCCTGTTTCCACGGATCATCTTTGAGATGCTTCTACTGCTTCAATGGAGTCCACAGGTGGACTGGTAAATTCAGTTGTTTTGACTTGATTTGGAAAGGCACACACCTGTATATATAAGGTCCCACAGAAAGGCACACACCTGTATATATAAGGTCCCACAGAAAGGCACACACCCGTATATATAAGGTCCCACAGAAAGGCACACACCTGTATATATAAGGTCCCACAGAAAGACACACACCTGTATATATAAGGTCCCACAGAAAGGCACACACCTGTATATATAAGGTCCCACAGAAAGGCAGACACCTGTATATATAAGGTCCCACAGAAAGGCACACACCTGTATATATAAGGTCCCACAGAAAGGCAGACACCTGTATATATAAGGTCCCATAGAAAGGCACACACCTGTATATATAAGGTCCCACAGAAAGGCAGACACCTGTATATATAAGGTCCCACAGTTGACAGTACATGTCAGAGCACAAACCAAGCATGAAGTCAAAGGAATTGTGTGTCGACCTCCGAAACAGGATTGTCTCGAGGCACAAGTCTGGGGAAGGGTACAGAAACATTTCTGCTGCTTTGAACTCTTTGGCGTGAATGCCAGGCGTCATGTTTGGAGGAAACCAGGCACAGCTCATCACCAAGCCAATACCATCCCTACAGTGAAGTATGGTGGTGGTAGCATCATGCTGTGGGGATGTTTTTCAGTGGCAGGAACTGGGAGACTAGTCAAGATGAAGCTGTCCACCAGCTCAATGTCCTCCCCCTGGATGTTCAGCAGCTTGTGGGAAAGCGATTCTCTCCTGAAATTGAGGACCATCTCCTTGGTCTTACTGGTGTTAGCACAGGTACCATCTCATTGGCCTTACTGGTTGGGGTAGTTGATGGTTCTATGCAGTGAGGTTCCTGTCCACTCCCGCGTCCTCCATCTTCTCCCGCAGCAGTGCCGGACTGATGGTGTTGAAAGCACTGGAGAAGTCGAAAACATGACCCTCACAGCGCCTCCTGCAGGCTCCAGGTGGGAGAGCGTCCACTGCAGTAAGTAGATGACGGCGTCCTTTACTCCGATGTTGAGCAAGAGCTCCACTGGAGTTCCTCTGCTCCAGAGGTCTCTGTCCTGTGAGGTGTCTGTGCTGTGACCAGTGGGGGCGGGTCCCGGCTCAAAAGTGGCCAAAATGACATGCGCTGACGTGCTGCAATACCACCCCGGGCCTGTGGGGGGTGGACCCGGAATAAGAATTAGCCAATGCTAACATATAGCATTAGCAGACCTCTCGAAAACGTCTTTACAGGATGGTCCAAAACTTGGCTCTTGGCCCAAAGCTCCGTTCCACATGTGTGTCAATGCTGAGGGGGGTGTTCTGGACCAGTCTAGTTTAGTCGCTGTGGACTTTTGAAGTCACTTGTTGAACGACTGCGCAGATGCGTTTTTTCACATTTTCCAGTCCCCGCGGCCATTTTGAATCACTCCAAGAAAGCCTAATTTTTGGCTCATTAGTTAGAACGGCGGAGATAGGTGTGACTACGTCTGTTATTATATAGAGATATGGCTGTGAGGTGCTGGTCCCTGACTCTGTGCTGATCCCAGGATAGTGCAGGACACAGAGGGAAACTTACATCTTCAGGGTTCATAATTAAACACAGAGGTTTCAACTTTCAAACTAACCTTCTCTCAAGACGAGTGTAAGGGCTCTGTTCTTTATCCATCAGAAGGTTTCACAGACTGGACCTGAAATCACAGACAGGGTTAGAGACGTGAGTGTGTGTGTGTGTGTGTGTGTGTGTGTGTGTGTAGGGGGGACATATATTGAGAACCTTCAAATGTAACTTCAGATATAACAAACAAAATAGAAAGGCGCCATATAAACAAATGTATTTTAAAAGTCCTAAAAAGGCTCAAACATGTCCAAAGCTGCTTCAAGGCTCATACTCAGAGGGGATGGGGATCTTTCCAGTGTTCCCCATTTCAGGCACAAAGGGCGGGTGCAGATAAGAGCCAGGGTCGCACTACCTCATTAACATTAGGATTGGATAAATATGATGATAATGATAATAATGATAATATATTTATTATTTATATGTGTGTGTGTCCAGGGTCAGTGAGTGTGTGTCTAGGGTTAGTGTGTGTGTCCAAAAAGATTTTACAAATTTGTGGGTTCCTCATCACAGTTCAGAGAATCAAACAGTTCAAACACAGTAGATGCAATAATAACAAACACAGCAGCCATGTGTTTGACCTCTGTCTGTGGTAACGACAGAAATGTCCTGGATCCTGCTACAATGTAACCCACTGCAGAAATAAATAACACAGTAAATGCATTTACTGTGTTATTCAGAAAGAAAGTGTCACTTCAGAGACGACAGATTTAAACAGTTCTTCAGAGACATGTTCAGTTCTCACCTGTCGCAGCAGCAGAAGTGTGTGTGTGTGTCAAAGGAGAGATATTTAATCCCCAGTCCAAAGGTCCTGATTGTAGTAAAATAAATGACGATCAAAGTCTGCTCCAGTTCATGAGTTCCGTTTTCCGTATTTTATTACTTGTCACGATGGGTCATAATAAAATGCTATGATAAAAACATAATGAAACACAATAAAACAGAACAGAATACATTGATTGTTTGAAGACAGCAGCAGAATAAAGTGCATCATTACTGTTTGCAACTTACTGTTACGGGCCAGGCCCTTTCTGTCCAGGAGAGGGAGCTGTCTGGGGTTTGTCTGCCTTCTCTGCCGTCTCCTCCTATGTGCAGGTCCACACCTGCACCATGCCACGCCCCTCATCAGTGGGTCTCTTCACCTGGGAGCTGAGAGCTGCTCACTTCTCTCCTGTGCTGCTCTGCTTGGTCCTGTCCTGGTGGGCTCTACCTTGAACCACCGCGCCCATTCCCTTTTTGCACATTTGAGTTTGTCTTTTGTTTTATACACCACATTCACTGCACACTAGTGATGGGTAAATGAAACCTCACGTATCGTTTCGGCACATCCAACGAACTGTATTGATACTGTGCCGCAACAGTGTTGCTTGTGCTGCTCTATACTGACGCCTGGTGGATCTGATAAATCATTACATGCAACTCACTGATTCAATGAGCTTTACATACTTGTCTGTACACAATATTACGTTACTGCATTGTCTGTGTTATTATTTTATTTTTTATGTGAAAATTAAAGTGATAGTAAAATGTCATTGAGTGATTTTATATATTTTTTATTTTTCAAAACAATAAGCATGTCCAAAGTGCACTGTAAACCCTGGCAACTAAAGTATACTTGAAAAAACCTTTGACATTTTCTACACTTCAATTTCTCGAAATCATTCTTCAGGACTGTGATGTCAACATAAACCTTTGAGGTCCGACAGGGATTCGTACCCGGTTCTCTTTAAACGCGAGGCGAGAGCGCTATCCACTCATCCACCATGCCTAACTAGATTTTCCGTTTCAAACTAAATCTTGATTGTAGATAAAGCGTGAAATGTAAAATACAAACATTTCCTTATTTGCAGTATCACACTGCAGAATACTTTCTTTTAGTGGCAGGTTCCATCTTGATGCTGTAAAATGGGATGTTTTTCCTTTTTGAAAGGGTTATTTTCTTTTTCTGAGAGCGGTTCATACCGGTGACACTTGCAGATGCGGAACCTTTTAAACACAGTTTGCCGTGTCGGGACAAGCGACACTGCGGCTGTATCGGTCACGTGGCTTTTTCATAAAGCGACACGCGCGCCGATACGAGGTTTCGCCAAACGAACTCGGCACATGCGCCGGTGTATCAGTGTTGCTGGACCCATCACTAATAAATACTGTTTCCTGCATCTTTGGGTCTGCCAATGTGTTCGTCTTAATAAAAAGAGGATGTTTCCTGCTCTGAGCTACAACCTGTAAACGTACCTTTGAATGTACCTGTGATCGTACCTGTGAGCGTACCTGTGAGCGTACCTGTGAGCCTTTAGAGCCTGAAGTCATTTTACTGTGGGTTTAAACACTTCTTATTGCTCTTATTAAGAAGCATTTACAGATATTTCTCTCGGTGTTGTGTGCTCTCCCTTCTGTCTGTGCGCTGCAACACCGACATTTCCCCACTGTGGACCAATAAGGTTCTCTGATCTCATCTTAGAACAAAAGCCTCCCTCTGGTCTCTCTCCATAGGGAGTGATTATACAGTTATTTATCATTCTAAAACATGAAAAGACAAAGTCAACAGTCTCATCTCCTTTAAAGTAAGAGGGATTCTCTGCTCTGTTCTAACTTTATGAAATCCACCTTTGCACAAGTGAACCCTTGATATGAAACAAAAGGTGAAGCACAGAAAGTGTAGAAGAGGAAAACTAAGAATCCATCACAGAAAGAATCAAAGACAGATGCAAGAAAAATGTCAACTTTTACTGTGTTCACAAACAACAACACATTTTAATTTATAATAAACAATAACAATTAACAAAACAATAAATGAATTTTCAGAACGTCCAATAAACAACATTAAACAGTAAACACGATGCACACATATCCTCCAGTGGTCTCAGCACTTGTGGACGGACTGAAGTGAGATCCTGTAGAGTCTGACTCTGGGCTCACAGGATGCAGCCTCAGCTCTGTCTCCTTCACTTTGTTCCAGAGGCTTCAGAGCTGCTTCTCTGCAGGTTTTAATGTGTCGATGAAGATTTGACCTTTGTGTAAAAGACTTTCCACACTTTTCACAGACAAATGGTTTTTCTCCAGTGTGGATCCTCTGATGAACTTTGAGAGTACCACTTCGAGAAAAACTCTGACCACAATCGTCACAGCTGAAGGGTTTTTCTCCAGTGTGGATTCTCTCATGACTTTTGTAGTTGGAAGAGTGAGTAAACGTCTTCCCACAGTCTCCACAGACGAATGGTTTATCTCCAGTGTGGATTCTGTAGTGATCAGTGAGGTTAGATAAACGTGTAAAAGTCTTTTCACACTGGTCACATTGGTGAGGTTTCTCTCCTGTGTGGACATGCTGATGTAGGGTGAGCTGGTGTTTGATCCTAAATGTTTTTTCACACTGGTCACACTCAAATGGTTTCTCTCCTGTGTGGATCTTCTGATGTTCTTTGAGAGTACCTCTTGTCTAAAACTCTGATCACAATCGTCACAGCTGAAGGGTTTTTCTCCAGTGTGGATTCTGCTGTGGACCATGAGATCTCTTTTTTTAGTAAAACATGTTCCACACAGATCACACTCGTGTATGGTTTTCCTCCAGAGTGAGTTCTGTGGTGGGTCTTTAGATCAGAAGCAGAGCTGCAGGTCTTTCCACACTGATCACAGGAGAACACCATTCTGTAGATGGACTTTGTAGATCTGCAACAAACACAACAAAGACACGTCAAATAATTATAATGTGTTTGACATTGATGGTGGAAGAAGTGAGAAATGACACAGTTGAGTGTGTTCACAGTAAAGTGTCAATTAAAGTATCTGGACTTTAAAAGGTTATAACTTAAAAACTAAAATAACTATCATGGATTAGATAAAATATTTCAAACACAGACACATTTTAAACGACCAAATCAGTCTCAGATTGGACCATTCTACTGTGACGCCAGAAAAGGAAATGTCCTGAGTCTGAAAAAGTGGAAATCCCACAAGATAAACCTGGTTAACACAACATCCATTGAAGGAGAAGTGGACAGCAGTGTGTGTGAGCTCCCTTTACAGCTGCGCGTCTGTGTGTGTCACTCTCCTGGATAACGTTTTTTTTTAACCACGTACACGGCACACTGTTAGCTCTCCGTGAGTTTAGAATACAGAAACAAATGTCTCTGGGTTTTCTCCTGATGTTGCCTAAACACGACTCTATATACTCACCTCTCGTGTGGAAGAACTGAGTAAGCAATTGCTTGCCCTCATTACACTTTTTCTCCCTGTCCTGTCTTTCTTTTCTTTTCTGAAATCCTGATTTTCCTTTCTTTGGAAAAGACATTTCTATTTTTCCCGCTTCTGCCGCTGCTTGTCAAATAAGTCAACTCTCTGCAGCGACAGCAACACAGCAACAAGCGCACATGTGGGTCGTACCATTTGATCTTTTGTAAGGGGGTGGCAGGGCCCTGATATAGCATACAAATTTGTTTTTAGAGGAAAACTGAGGTTAAAACGTTGGTTATTTTTATACAGGGCCCCTTTCATTCAAATTGTAATAATATGAATATACCACAATGCCTAATACATATAAATATAAAGACACACTTTAGAGGGCCCCTCCCCGCCTTGGGCCCTGGGTACTCGGTACCCTTTACCCCCCCAGTCCGACGCCCATGGGTGTGTCAAAAAGAGATTCATGTGTAAAACAGAGCCTGTGCGTAGCACTTTGGCTTTTGTCCGTTCTTCTCTTCGTACAACGTGGCAGTGTTGTGCCAGTTCACAGCTTTTCTGAACTAGTTCAAGTTCAGTTCATACATGCTCAAAGTGAACAGTTCACGTTCAAAGTTCACAATTTTAATTCTGAACTAGTTCAAAGTTCAGTTCATTTTACTTTTTTATATATATATATATATATATATATATATATATATATATATATATATATATAAAAATGTATACGTACAACAGTATACATGTATATATATATATATATATATATATATATATATATATATTAGGGCTGTCCAAAATAGCGCGTTATTAACGCGTTAACGCAAATCAATATTAACGCCGTCATTTTTTTTATCGCGCGATAAAAAAAAAAAAAATAAATAAAATTTTTTTTTTTTTTTTTTTTACTTTTTATTGCAGACAAACACATATACAGAAAAAAAAAATAGAAACAAAGAAAAGGACTAGTTCAGATACATTGTAGACAGAGATTACAAACAATATGTAGTTGGAGATACAGGGGGCCAAAGAAGAAACCCAGAAGGGCACATAGGAGGGGAGGGGGGGGGGGGACATGAAGTGGGAGATGGGGGAGGGGTTAATAAAAAAGGCAATACAAGCAAACAGTATACAGTCATAGATATACCGAAGGTAAACAGAGAAACAGCATAGAGTATTTACATGAACAAATTTACAAAATATTTACAGATTGTTTATCATCACCATAATGACACCATGATGTTTCTTACAGTCTATGGTCTATACCCACACATACACACACACACCCACACACACACATTGAAGGGGCTTTTTGTTACCAATTATTTATTTTGTCATCCATTTATTGATGATTTTGCATCAAATGTTAGTGTGTAATATAACACTACACATTGTTTTCAATAAAAAAAAGCAATTGCACACAGCACGCAAATGTGTGACTAATTTGCGATTAATCGCGAGTTAACTATGAAATTCATGCGATTAATCGCGATTAAATATTTTAATCGTTGGACAGCACTAATATATATATATATATATATATATATATATATATATATATATATATATATATATATATATATATATATATATATATATATATATTTATATATCTCCTGTACACCCACAGGAGGAGAGTCTTTTGACTACAAAACAGACTAGATTGACATGGTTTTCAATGGGAGCCAAACGGAGTTGTTCCATCTCTGCTCATAAACTACAGACAGTAATGCGCTGCAGTGCGTGTGTTTATACTTTATGTCAAATGTAAACGGTGTAAACTTTGTCGCTAACCAACGCGCTGCACCGCAACACAGAGTCGGGGTGCGTTCACAGACTGCGGAAACCGTAGGAATTTTTAGACTTCCGTTGAAAAAGTGCGAGAATACAGGAGGGAGGAACTTTCTCTCGTTGCGTTTCAAAAGAGAAAACAGATTCCAACGTTCATAGTGATGTCTGCCGTTCATGACACATAAAATGAACTAATTCACGTTCAAGTTCTTTTTTTAAAAATGTGTTGCGTTCAGTTCAACGTTCACAAAAAAATGAGCGCGTTCTTTTGAACTCGTTCACGCACAACACTGCAACGTGGTTATTTACACACAGATTGTTCTGTTACAGATACAAATGTCAAATTACACACACACAAATCTTTTTACGCACACACAAATATTATTGAAACAATAATAGTTCCATATGGAGACCGCATCTATAGCCTGGTCTGGTCTGGTCCTGGTCCTGGTCTGGTCTGGTCTGGTCCTGGTCTGGTCCTGGTCTGGTCCTGGTCTGGTCCTGGTCTGGTCCTGGTCTGGTCCTGGTCTGGTCTGGTCCTGGTCCTGGTCTGGTCCTGGTCTGGTCCTGGTCTGGTCCTGGTCTGGTCCTGGTCTGGTCTGGTCCTGGTCTGGTCCTGGTCCTGGTCTGGTCCTGGTCTGGTCTGGACCTGGTCTGGTCCTGGTCTGGTCTGGTCCTGGTATGGTCCTGGTCTGGTCCTGGTCCTGGTCTGTTCTGGTCCTGGTCTGGTCTGGACCTGGGTGAGCAGAGCCCGGTGGATCTTGGGGTCAGTGAGATCAGCGGATCCAGAACTTAGACGGAGCTTCACTTTGGTTCTTTTCATTTTCACCTCCGGAACATCTACACAAGTTACAGAACCGGAACAAGTTACAGAACCTGAAACTTTTGTACTGAACCTAAAACACAGACTGACCATTCCTTAAACAAAAGTACACACTTGAAAACACTGATATACAAAACGCGACACACATCAGACAGACACAAACAGGCCTCAGTTTAGCCATTTTCAGAACTTTTAAAGTTTGAAGGAAGGAAGAGCAAGAGAGAGAGGAAGAGGAAGAGCAAGAGAGAGGAAGAGGAAGAGGAAGAGAGAGGAAGAGCAAGAGAGAGGAAGACAAGGAGGAAGTTGTAGTTGAAGATATTTCTGACATTAGAGCAACTTTTGTGATCAATCCTGACCTCACACTGAGAGAAGCAAGAGTCAGACACAGCTGCAGCATCAGGACCTTCAGATGGAAACATGTCTCCAACATGTACTGTACCTGTGTACTGCAGACTGTATCTACAGTATTTACAGTACTGTACCTGTGTACTGCAGACTGTATCTACAGTATTTACAGTACTGTACCTGTGTACTGCAGACTGTATCTACAGTATTTACAGTACTGTACCTCTGTACTGCAGCCTGTATCTACAGTATTTACAGTACTGTACCTGTGTACTGCAGACTGTATCTACAGTATTTACAGTACTGTACCTCTGTACTGCAGACTTTATCTACAGTATTTACAGTACTGTACCTCTGTACTGCAGACTGTATCTACAGTATTTACAGTACTGTACCTCTGTACTGCAGACTGTATCTACAGTATTCACAGTACTGTACCTCTGTACTGCAGACTGTATCTACAGTACTGTACTGTATCACATGTACTGTACCTCTGTACTGCAGACTGTATCTACAGTATTCACAGTACTGTAACTCTGTACTGCAGACTGTATCTACAGTATTTACAGTACTTTACTGCATTACATGTACTGTATTGTAATTTGGCTATTGCACAGTAGAGTAAACTACATAGTACTGTACTATTGAGATGTCACAGTACTGTGTACAGTATACCTGTACTGTAAAAAAAAAAAAACTAAACCAATAGTAACAAGTTGTGGTTACATATTTCTACAGAACGACTAGAACCTTCTCCAGGAGCTCAACACCTGTTCACCAACAGCAGGAACAGTGTGGAAACAGTCTGAGCAGGAACATGATCCATAATCCCACTCACAACAGCTGCCTAGTTTTACATTAGACGTTTGTATTTATGTGTTACTGCATTGACACAAATGCAGTACAGTATATACTCTAGTACTGTGATGTACACTGTACTGTAGTACTGTGATGTACACTGTCCTGTAGTACTGTGATGTACACTGTACTGTAGTACTGTGATGTACACTGTACTGTAGTACTGTGATGTACACTGTACTGTAGTACTGTGATGTACTCTGTACTGTAGTACTGTGATGTACACTGTACTGTAGTACTGTGATGTACTCTGTACTGTAGTACTGTGATGTACACTGTACTGTAGTACTGTGATGTACACTGTACTGTAGTACTGTGATGTACACTGTACTGTAGTACTGTGATGTACACTGTCCTGTAGTACTGTGATGTACTCTGTACTGTAGTACTGTGATGTACACTGTCCTGTAGTACTGTGATGTACTGTATTGAGTTGATATTATTTGTACCTTTCAGTACTACTGAGAATCAAAACAGTTCCATTGAGCTTCACTGAAAACTAACTGATAAACAGAATAAAAACAGTGAAGTATAAAGTACTGCAGTGTTTTATGTAAAGTACTGTTTGTGTTTTATGTAAAGTACTGTTTGTGTTTTATATAAAGTACTGTTTGTGTTGCCAACAATCTGAAAGTGTGTTCACATGATGCAAGTGTGTGTCATCTTGTCCTCAGAGTTTCATTTTGACAAAATGATTGTTCAGTTTTGAGAGCAGAGTTTGAGTTTTGATAAAGCAGTTTCATTTTGAGACAGATGTGAATGGTTTATGTCCCAGTGTGTGTCAGCTTCTCTTGTGTGCAGAGTTTTAGGACTATGAGCGACATTTGGACAAATGTGTTCAAGCAACAGGAACAAACTGTATGTCTGTTGTTCAGGGGTATGAATACTTTTGCTCAGACCTTGGTGACAGATGAAAGGGAACCGTTGTTCACATTTCTCCTGGTCCCACTTCCCGCTGTGATCCAGAACCATGCAGCCTTTATCCGAGTCCAGAGGGTCCTGGTCCCACCCAGACCACCGGACCCAGGACCCATCCACCCAAAGCCACCGCAGGTACAGCCCGATCCAGACCTCCTCCCCTAAACACAGAGAAACTGGGTCTACAGTCTCAGTCCTGGGTCTACAGCCTCAGTCCTGGGTCTACAGCCTCAGTCCTGGGTCTACAGCCTCAGTCCTGGGTCTACAGCCTCAGTCCTGGGTCTACAGCCTCAGTCCTGGGTCTACAGCCTCAGTCCTGGGTCTACAGCCTCAGTCCTGGATCTACAGCCTCAGTCCTGGGTCTACAGCCTCAGTCCTGGGTCTACAGCCTCATCACGGTCTACGGTGGAGGAGGTAGTGTTGGTGATACCTGCCTGGTCCAGTGTCTGGAGCGCCTGGAGGATATCCTGGGTTTGGTTCTGGTTCAGGACGGAGCTGAGGTTGGTGAAGTTTGCCTTACACTGAGACCGGGCCTGTTTCCACTCCAGGGACTGGTCCAGGATCCAGTGAGTCTGGTCCGATTCTGCAGCACAAACACATACACAGCATCAGGTTATCCAGGGCTATGCTGGTCTCTCTTCGGTCTCTCTCCGGAGAGACCGGAGAGAGACCAGCATATCCAGGGCTATGCTGGTCTCTCTCCGGTCTCTCTCCGGTCTCTCTCTGGTCTCCCTCTGGTCTCTCTCTGGTCTTTCTCTCTTGTCTCACTCTGGTCTCACTCTGGTCTCACTCTGGTCTCTCTCTGAATTCTCTGTGGTCTCATTCTGGTCTCTCTCTCTGGTCTTCCTCTAGCATCCCTCTGGTCTCACTCTGGTCTCTCTCTGGTCTCTCTCTGGTCTCTCTGATCTCACTCTGGTCTCTGGTCTCTCTCTGAATTCTCTCTTGTCTTATTCTGGTCTCTCTCTCTGGTCTCTCTCTGGTCTCTGATCTTCCTCTAGCATCCCTCTGGTCTCTCTCTTCTCTCTCTTTCTGGTCTTCCTCTGGTCTCTCTCTCGTCTCTCCCTCTGGTCTCCCTCTGGTCTCCCTCTGGTCTCCCTCTGGTCTTTCTCTGGTCTCTCTCTCTTGTCTCTTTTTATGTTCTTCCTCTGGTCTCTCTCTGGTCTCTCTCTGGTCTCTCTCTGGTCTCCCTCTGGTCTCCCCCTGGTCTCTATCTAGTCTCTCTCTTGTCTCTCTGTTCTCCCTCTGGTCTCGTTCTGGTCTCACCTCTATAGCAGCTGGCCCTCAGGGTCTCGGTACAGTCCTTAGAGACCCAGAGTCCGTCGCTGGTGCGGAGGGCGGTACAGTTCTTCTTGTCCCAGGGCTCATCTGGTGCCCATTGCTCAAACCACTCCTCATTGGCTGAGATCGGCTCAGCAGGCCCCGCCCCCGTCCAGTCCCATACCCGGCTCAGACCGGTCCAGACCTTCCCCGAGTCCGGTCTGGCTGCAGAGTTCTGGTCTGAGGTCCGGATCGAGGCCAGAGTCAGGTTCAGGGCGGCACAGTCGGACACAGCCTCAGACCAGGTCCGGTCCTGGTTCTGTTGATGGTACAACCTCAGGGACACAACCCCATGGAGGACGCCTGGACACAGGACAGAACCATCAGTCCTCACCCCATGAGGACCATAAGGACTCAACATGCTCTGAGGACTGACCTGAGACTGAGAGGACCAGCAAGACCCTCACACCTGCTCAAACACATGGGGTTAGGAGAGACCAGAGAGAGACCAGAGAGAGACCAGAGTGAGACCAGAGTGAGACCAGAGAGAGACCAGAGAGAGACCAGAGAGAGACCAGAGAGAGACCAGAAAGAGACCAGAGAGGGACCAGAGAGAGACCAGAGAGAGACCAGAGTGAGACCAGAGAGACCAGAGTGAGACCAGAGAGAGACCAGAGAGAGACCAGAAAGAGACCAGAGAGAGACCAGAGAGAGACCAGAGATAGACCAGAGTGAGACCAGAGAGAGACCAGAGTGAGACCAGAGTGAGACCAGAGTGAGACCAGAGTGAGACCAGCGAGAGACCAGCGAGAGACCAGCGAGAGACCAGCGAGAGACCAGAGAGAGACCAGAGAGAGACCAGAGAGAATCCAGAGAGAATCCAGAGAGAATCCAGAGAGAATCCAGAAAGAGACCAGAGAGAGACCAGAGAGGGACCAGAGAGAGACCAGAGAGAATTCAGAGATAGACCAGAGACCAGAGTGAGACCAGAGAGAGACCAGAGAGGGAAACCAGAGAGAGACCAGAGTGAGACCAGAGAGAGACCAGAGTGAGACCAGAGTGAGACCAGAGTGAGACCAGCGAGAGACCAGCGAGAGACCAGCGAGAGACCAGCGAGAGACCAGAGAGAGACCAGAGAGAGACCAGAGAGAATCCAGAGAGAATCCAGAGAGAATCCAGAAAGAGACCAGAGAGAGACCAGAGAGGGACCAGAGAGAGACCAGAGAGAATTCAGAGATAGACCAGAGACCAGAGTGAGACCAGAGAGAGACCAGAGAGAGACCAGAGAGAGACCAGAGAGGGAAACCAGAGAGAGACCAGAGAGAGACCAGAGGGACCAGAGAGAGATCAGAGAGAGACCAGAGTGAGACAGAGTGAGACCAGAGAGAGACCAGAGAGAGCTCTACAGTGCTTCTAACATACGAATAATGTTAATTTGTTTGTTTGAAGTTTCTTCATTACTTGCAGATTGTGACTTTTTGTGTGAAATGTATTATTTTGACAAAAAAACACTCACCGTTCATGATGGAGTCTGAGGGAAGTCCTGGTCTCTCAGGTCTCTCTCAGGTCTCTCTTTGGCCTCTCTCTGGTCTCTCTTTGGTCTCTCTCTGGTCTCTCTCTGGTCTCTCTCGGGTCTCTCTTGGGTCTCTCTCTGGTCTCTCTCGGGTCTCTCTCTGGTCTCTCTTTGGTCTCTCTCTGGTCTCTTTTTGGTCTCTCTGGTCTCTCTCTGGTCTCTCTCGGGTCTCTCTCTGGTCTCTCTGGTCTCTCTTTGGCCTCTCTCTGGTCTCTCTCTGGTCTCGCTCTGGTCACGCTCTGGTCTCTCTCTGGTCTCTCTCTGGTCTCTCTCTGGTCTCTCTTTGGCCTCTCTTTGGCCTCTCTTTGGCCTCTCTCTGGTCTCGCTCTGGTCTCTCTCTGGTCTCTCTTTGGTCTCTGGTCTCTCTGGCCTCTCTTTGGCCTCTCTCTGGTCTCTTTTTGGTCTCTCTGGTCTCTCTCTGGTCTCTCTCGGGTCTCTCTCGGGTCTCTCTCTGGTCTCTCTGGTCTCTCTTTAGCCTCTCTCTGGTCTCTCTCTGGTCTCTCAGGTCTCTCTCTGGTCTCTCTCTGGTCTCTCTCTGGTCTCGCTCTGGTCACGCTCTGGTCTCTCTCTGGTCTCTCTCTGGTCTTTCTCTGGTCTCTCTTTGGCCTCTCTTTGGCCTCTCTTTGGCCTCTCTTTGGCCTCTCTCTGGTCTCGCTCTGGTCTCTTTCTGGTCTCTCTTTGGCCTCGCTCTGGTCTCTCTGGTCTCTCTTTGGCCTCTCTTTGGCCTCTCTCTGGTCTCTCTCTGGTCTCGCTCTGGTCTTTTAAACCTGCTCATTAAGAAATAATTTGGTTGAAAACTGACTCTTGAACCATCAAACAAACTACAGCATTCAAATCACACTATTAACCAAAGTAAACCAGGACGAGGTCCAGGTTCAGGTTCAGGTTCAGGTCCAGGACCAGGACCAGAACCAGGACCAAGACACCAAAGAGAGACTAGAGAGAGAGATAGACCAGACACAGAGACCAGCGAGAGACCAGCAAGAGACCATAGAGACCAGAGGGAGAGACCAGAGAGAGAGACCAGAGAGACCAGAGGGAGAGACCAGAGAGAGAGACCAGAGAGAGAGACCAGAGAGAGACCAGACCAGACAGAGAGACCAGATAGAGAGACCAGAAACCAGACAGAGAGACCAGAGAGAGAGACCAGAGAGAGGGACCAGAAAGAGAGACCAGAGAGAGACCAGAGAGAGACCAGAGAGAGAGACCAGAGAGGGACCAGAGGGAGACCAGAGGGAGACCAGAGAGAGACTAGAGAGAGACCAGAGCGAGACCAGAGAGACCAGAGAGATCAGAGCGAGACCAGAGAGAGACCAAAGAGAGAGACCAGAGAGAGAGACCAGAGAGAGAGACCAGAGAGAGACCAGAGAGAGACCAGAGAGAGGGACCAGAAAGAGAGACCAGAAAGAGAGACCAGAAAGAGAGACCAGAGAGACACCAGAGAGAGACCAGAGAGAGAGACCAGAGAGAGACCAGAGCAGAGTTTGTCATTAACCAAATGAGCAGAGTTCATGTTTCTCTGATTCAAATGTAAAGAAATCTTTTCATCATTTATCATTAAACACAGTCTTAGTTTAGTTTAGTTAAAACTCAGGTCTGTGACTTTAAAGCTGGGGTCTGTGACTTTAAAGTTGGGGACTGTGACTTTAAAGTTGGGGTCTGTGACTTTAAAGCTGGGGTCTGTGACTTTAAAGCTGGGGTCTGTGACTTTAAAGCTGGGGTCTGTGACTTTAAAGTTGGGGTCTGTGACTTTAAAGCTGGGGTCTGTGACTTTAAAGCTGGGGTCTGTGACTTTAAAGTTGGGGTCTGTGACTTTAAAGCTGGGGTCTGTGACTTTAAAGCTGGGGTCTGTGACTTTAAAGGAGTAGTATGTAAAAATCTGGCCAAAAATGGTACTGCAGTCACAGTCAATATTGTGTAGTCCTCTCCCTCTCTCCCTGACTCAGGTTGCCAGATACACACCAAATCCAGCAGAAAACACAGGGGATTATTTTATCAGTGTTGTGTCTGTCTCTCACATTGCCATTATTTGGACATTTGAGATGAGAAAAACAAAAACAAAATAAAAGCAATGTAATTATGCACAGATTATGCAACATAAATAAGTGATTGATGTCCAAAAAAAGAGTGGGAAGAATGGATGTTGGAACATATTTCCTCCAGAGGATATACCCCCTTTATTTATTCCCTATTTTTTAGACAAACATGTATAAGTCCCACATCAAATAGAGACTAACATTATTTTAATTGGGGTACATGTGGTCTCAAATGATTCTTTTTACAAATAAGCTATAATCTGCAAAAAGCATCATGATCTTAGTCTTTGATGGTAATTTGAACGGTCTGTTTTAGAATGTGGTACTACGTGATTAAAGTCATGCAGACCGACCTCGGACTCGGACCCGGGTCGTCGGCTTCTGAGCGCAATGGCTAATCCACTACAGCACTATTGCACGTGCGATGATATTGGTAGATGCAGAACTGAATCAAAGCAGCAAGTTTTGCATCACACGAAAAGTTTATGCACTGGCAACCCGATCACGGACTTCTGTGGGACTTCCTGATTCGCGAAACGGCGGAGGGCAGGACATCAGAATGAAAACAATGACAACTTTTACGGGTCGTAAAACTAATTTTGAGATTCAAATATCTCTGAACTTCTGTTGTAAGTTAAAGATGTATTTGAAAAGAGCATGATCTAATATTGCCTTTGGAAATATTGGGGCCATTTAATGATGACTTGACATGAAAATATTACCTACTGCTACTTTAAAGCCGGGGTCTGTGATTTTAAAGCTGGGGTCAGTCGTGGATATCCACACGGGCAGTGGTCAGTACTTTAAACGCGTCACTTAAGAGGATTAGAAGCATTGCTAACCACAGTGGATGAAAGCATCATAAACAGTTAAGACAGAGGAGCGTGTTTTTACAGTGTTTTTTTAAAACATTAAAACATGCTCTACAGGAGTATTGTAGAAAACACTACAGTACTGTAGTGCTAGTAGCAGTACTACAGTACTGTAGTTCTAGTGGAACACCGTCTTCCTCCACTTCTTGTCCGGTGTAAACGGCCAAGGTGAATCTAAGATGGCGAATCTGAAGGGGCGGGGCTCCACGAGAGTTCAAAGGGCGAGAGGCGGGGCCAGGGTCTGTCGCCTACACACAACAACAAACAAACAGAGGTTTAGGGGCAAGTGGGCGTGTGTCTGTTACCGTGACAATATGAGTGCCTGTCTGTTACCGGGACGATGTGGGCGTGTGTCTGTTACCGGGACAATGTGGGCGTGTCTCTGTTACCGGGAAGATGTGGGCGTGTGTCTGTTACCGTGACGATATGAGTGCCTGTCTGTAACCAGGACAATGTGGGCGTGTGTCTGTTACCGGGATGATGTGGACATGTGTCTGTTACCATGACGATATGGGTGTGTGTCTGTTACCGGGAGGATATGGGGGCGTGTGTCTGTTACCGGGAGGATGTGAGCGTGTGTCTGTTACCGGGAGGATGTGGGCGTGTGTCTGTTACCGGGACGATGTGGGCGTGTGTCTGTTACCGGGACGATGTGGGGTGTGTCTGTTACCGGGACGATGTGGGCGTGTGTTTGTTACCGTGACGATTTGGGCATGTGTCTGTTACCGGGACGATGTGGGCATGTGTCTGTTACCGGGACGATGTGGGCATGTGTCTGTTACCGGGACGATGTAGTTGCTCGGCAGCTCGAAGGCCTCGGCGATGGATTTGCTCATCTGCTTAACACACCACAGAGAGACGGGTCCTGGAGAAACAGACACAGAGCACTGAGACACAGACAGAGAGACACAGACACAGAAAAACAGACAGAGAGACAGCACTGAGACAGAGACACAGACAGAGACACAGACACAGAAACACAGACAGAGACACAGAGACAGAGACACAGACACAGAAACACAGACAGAGACACAGAGACAGAGACACATAACTTACTGTAGATAATAGTACAGTGTCCCATGGTCAGAACTGACATCACCTTTAAGCACAAAAGTTACTGAAGCCCTGTTTCCACCAAGCTCTGCTCTGCTGTCCTGGGTTCGAATCCGATTTTCCCCACCACTATAAACATGTACAATAGGTCTGGCATGCGCCTCCTGTACTGGCAACCCCATTCCCATCTCTGTGAGGCGTGAGAGGACAAATGCCCAAAATTAACAATTGTAAACTGCTTTGTGACTCTGGTCTGTGAAAGGCAGTAGATAAATGAAGATTACTTACTTACTCAGCTTTACTCTACTCTACTCTACTCTACTCTGCTCTACCCAAATAGTACCAGGTCAGCCCTGGTTCTATCCAGGCAAAACTAAAGTGTTCTAACTGACAGTGATTGGCCCGAGAGCTGATGGAGGCCAAGGTTACCATGGTTACCATTCCCCGAATACTGGTTTGTTGTGGTTGGTTGCTAGGATACGGTACCAGATACTAGAGTGGGATGGAAACACAACAGAGTGGAGTCCTGAGGCGTTCCCATGTGAGAGACACAGACCCTCTGGACTTTTGGATTTATTTGAGATGAAGTTTGCAGAGTACAGAAGTGTAAACCTGTGTGTCCTGGGCTCAGGTAAAGGTTTGGGTCACAGTTAGTTGCTGCTGTTTGTAAAAGTGTTTTGGGCCAAATTTCAAAAAGATGAAACGAGCCAAAAGAATGTTTATTTGTAGAAAAGATGTGTATATTTTTGTTTGAGTTCCTGTTTATCAGAATAAAAGTGTTGCATATTGTGAAGTGTCCTCTCTCTCTGAACGATGACATCTAGTGGTGACAAAGAGTAGATGCATTAAAGCATTAAAGCTGGGGTACCTGACCCAGGACAGCTCACATACATGTCCAGAGAGACTTGGTCCAGACTCTGATGGTCACAGCCTGAGGACGATGTCCAAAAGCTTCCTGATCTTGAAGCACTGACATCAGCGCCCCCTGGAGGGGGGGGACATGCTTTTCAGACTTTTTTCAAATGTCCCGTTCTCATCCCTGAAACAAAGTATAGTTTGTAGAGGCACAATAATGAAGAGGATCCACAGCCTTTATGAGACGAAGAAGAAGAAGAAAGAGGAGGCTTTAGCAGATGATATGAGACAGAGAAGAAGAAGAAAGAGGAGGCTTTAGCAGATGATATGAGACAGAGAAGAAGAAGAAAGAGGAGGCTTTAGCAGATGCGGCATACAGCACCACCTTTAGCCTGTGTCACAACACCTCAGCACCACCTTTAGCCTGTGTCACAACACCTCAGCACCACCTTTAGCCTGTGTCACAACACCTCAGCACCACCTTTAGCCTGTGTCGCAACACCTCAGCACCACCTTTAGCCTGTGTCACAACACCTCAGCACCACCTTTAGCCTGTGTCGCAACACCTCAGCACCACCTTTAGCCTGTGTCACAACACCTCAGCACCACCTTTAGCCTGTGTCACAACACCTCAGCACCACCTTTAACCTGTGTCGCAACACCCTCAGCACCACCTTTAGCCTGTGTCGCAACACCTCAGCACCACCTTTAGCCTGTGTCGCAACACCTCAGCACCACCTTTAGCCTGTGTCGCAACACCTCAGCACCACCTTTAGCCTGTGTCACAACACCTCAGCACCACCTTTAGCCTGTGTCGCAACACCTCAGCACCACCTTTAGCCTGTGTCTCAACACCTCAGCACCACCTTTAGCCTGTGTCTCAACACCTCAGCACCACCTTTAACCTGTGTCGCAACACCTCAGCACCACCTTTAGCCTGTGTCGCAACACCTCAGCACCACCTTTAGCCTGTGTCGCAACACCTCAGCACCACCTTTAGCCTGTGTCACAACACCTCAGCACCACCTTTAGCCTGTGTCACAACACCTCAGCACCACCTTTAGCCTGTGTCGCAACACCTCAGCACCACCTTTAGCCTGTGTCACAACACCTCAGCACCACCTTTAGCCTGTGTCGCAGCACCTCAGCACCACCTTTAGCCTGTGTCGCAACACCTCAGCACCACCTTTAGCCTGTGTCACAACACCTCAGCACCACCTTTAACCTGTGTCTCAACACCTCAGCACCACCTTTAGCCTGTGTCACAACACCTCAGCACCACCTTTAGCCTGTGTCTCAACACCTCAGCACCACCTTTAGCCTGTGTCACAACACCTCAGCACCACCTTTAGCCTGTGTCACAACACCTCAGCACCACCTTTAGCCTGTGTCTCAACACCTCAGCACCACCTTTAGCCTGTGTCGCAACACCTCAGCACCACCTTTAGCCTGTGTCGCAACACCTCAGCACCACCTTTAGCCTGTGTCACAACACCTCAGCACCACCTTTAACCTGTGTCACAACACCTCAGCACCACCTTTAACCTGTGTCACAACACCTCAGCACCACCTTTAGCCTGTGTCACAACACCTCAGCACCACCTTTAACCTGTGTCTCAACACCTCAGCACCACCTTTAACCTGTGTCTCAACACCTCAGCAACACCTTTAGCCTGTGTCACAACACCTCAGCAACACCATGGCCAGCGACCGTGCCGTGGCTGTACGGACTTAGGATTGCAGCGCTCTTTTTGATATTAAAGTGTGTATGGAGCGCCGCTTCAATGACTGGGCAACTACAGGAAAACTTTTCCTCCCCGGTTCACCTTCGCCCCCACTTCCTAGGAGTACCTGTGGTTGTTGCAACCCCCGAGTAAATCCAACAAGAGGGCGAGGCGCAGAGGCTGGTCCAGATCAGACGAGCCGCTTGGAAGCTGTTTGGTCACGCTCGTCCAGCGCCAAGCTACAGGTGGCTGCGTCCCATTCCCCTCTGGCAGCAGGGTGCGCTGGACAGCGCTGCCTCCCTACCGCGTCCCACCGGGTCTCCACTCTACACGGGAGCAGACTGGATCCATGGTGGAGCAGACTGGACCCCGACGCTGTACCGGCCTCCCGTGTTTACTCCTGTGGACCGTCTCTGGACCAGCGGTACGTCACGTGACCGCATGAGATGTCTGCGGCAGATTCCAAAGCGCTCAGCTGATCACGCAGCTGATCACCTTCGTTCGGCCGTTTTGGATTACTAAACACCCGCTCCATTGCAAATAAGTCTTTCTCAATAAATGAGCTGTTCTCCAGAAAAGTCTTGCACTTCCTTTTCCTCGTTGAAACGTGGCAACGGGAAGATGAGTCTATCCATCTGGATGAACTGTATCCAGCGGATTGCTCTGTTGTTGGGACGCCCTGCCCGTTCTTCAAACACATTTTATTGTGTTTTGATTTATCGCCCCCCCCGGCCCTGCTGGTGCTTTCTTAGCCAAGTTTACGGACTTTTTTTTCGTCAATTTTAAGACTAGAGAAGGTCTTAATTTGGAGACTTTAATCTGCACATTGAGGACTCTTCTGGTCTAGCTGCTGATTTTGTATCCACGACGGAAGCTTTTAATTTCACGCAGCATGTCTCAGGCTCCACTCACGTGAAAGGCCACACATTAGATCTGGTCTTTACACTGGGTCTGCAGGATGTGCACTTAAAGGCGCTATACCCGTTTCTGCAATGTTTGAATGTTTAGCACCGCCCCCCAACTCGCTCACAGGCTTCTCATTTCCCCTACGCTCTCTTAACACGGAGCGACCTAGTTTTATTTGCGATCTGATACGAATGCTAACATTAGCATTAGCGGAACTTGTAAGCTGTACAACGATCATTGATTAAACGGCACTAAAGCAATGCACGGCTAACACAATATATAAGTAAAAGGATACCATTAGTTTCGCGTCCGAATGTATTAATTTAAACATTAGAATATATTCTAATATTTAATTATAATTTATTATACAGCCCCTCACAGCAGCAGTAGAACACTCCATTGACTTGAATGCAATTCTTCCGATCATTTTTTCTTGATAACAGAACTCTCAAACCAATAATGACCGCAGCCCCAATGCAATCTCTGTTTGTAATTCAGGTGTGTACAATACTGCCATTACTCCGCAAGTACAAGCTATCAGCGCATGTCACAGTTTTTCTGCACACTTGTCTGTGTAGAGAAGCTAGCGGAGCTAGAATAAACAAATACATATCAATCAATCAACACTATTAAACATTAATCGGAGAATACAGTACACATATACATCCTTAACACACATGCACGGACCATTTCAGAATTTGCTGTCAACGTTTTCATGACAAAAATACTGTTTTAAAGTGACAAAAAGCGATCGCGAAAAACCCGGAAGTTACCATGAAACAGCTAGCTAGCTTTGCCGTTACCTGCCTAGCACGTCCCGGTGAAACCTTTGGGAGCTAACTATTTTATTTGCAGTCATTAAATACATTTCAAATTATAAGGGCTGTCTAATATTTGTTCGAATATATACATATATATTTTAATTTTAGAATTATATTTGAATGTTGAAGTGGAAGCCCTGGTGTTAAGCAGCGCTGTAGGGGCTCGAGGACGCAGGCTGTTCGCTGCTCGTTCTGTGAGTGGAGGAGAACAAACGGCCGCTAAGACTCCATTCAGCACTTTTCACTGCCTGATTTTCATACACAGTGGAATCAATGACCTCAAGTTTTCAATGAAATTATGTATAATGATACAACTTGTATGTAGTAAAAAACATTTGTATGAACTACTTAGAAAAAAAATCGGGTATAGCTTCTTTAAGTGACCATTACGGTGTTTTTCGATCTGCTGGGGTCTTCAGATCCTCGCACTCTACCTGCTAAAGTAGTACATGACTGCACCGAAATGGATGAGCTCCA